GCAGACACAAATGAATCAAAAAACATCCATGTTTTTGGATTAGAGGAAGTGGTATTGTTAAAATGTCCAAACTACCCAAACAATCTCTAGATTCAGTACAATCCCTATCAAAATCCCAATGGCATTTTTTACAGAAATAGAAAAAACATCCAAAACTTCCTAAACACAAAAGACCCCAAGTAGCTAAAGCAATGTTGAGCAAAAAGAACAAAGCTAAAGGCATCAACACCCTAATTTCAAAATGTATCACAAAGCTACTGTAATCAAAACAATGTGATATTGGCATAAAAAACAAACATCTAGTCCAATGAAACAGAATAGAGAATCCTGAAATAAATCAATGCATAGATGGTCAACTGATTGTCAACAAGTGCGCCAAGAATACACAATGGGGAAAAATATTCTCTTCAATAAATGGTGTTGGAAAAACTGGATGTCTACATGCAAAAGAACAATATTGGACCTTTATCTTACATCACACACAAAAATTAACTCAAAATGGATTAAAGACTTTAATGTAAGACCTGAAATTGTAAAGCTACTAGAAGAAAACCTAGGGGTCAATTCTGTGACATTGGTCTGGGCAATGATTTTTTGGATATAATCCCAAAAGCATAGGCAATAAAAGCAAAAAATAGACAAATGCGATTACATCAAACTAAAAAAACTCCTGCACAGCAAAGTAAAAAATCAGCAAAATAAAAGGCAACCTGCAGAATAAGAGAAAATATTTACAAACTACATATCTGATAATGAGTCAATATCCAAAATATATAAGGAGGTCCTATAATTCCATAGCAAAAATAAATAAATAACCTGCTTTAAAAATGGGCAAAAGACCTAAAAAATTTCTCAAAAGAAGACATACAAACGTATATGAAAAGGTGCTCAACATCATTTATTATCACAGAAATGCAAATCAAAGCCACAATGAGATAGCACGTTACACCTATTATGATAGCTACTATCCAAAAACCAAAAGAAACCAAATGATGAGGATGTGGAGGAAAGGGAACACTTATATATGGTCAGTGGGGATGTAAATTGGTACAGTCACTATGGAAGCAGTATCTAAAAATTAAAAATACAACTGCCACATGATCCAGCAATCCCACTTCTGTGAACATATCTGAAGGAATTGAAATTAAGATCTCGAAGAGATACCTGCACTCCCGTGTTCATTGCATTATTCACAATAGCGAAAACATGAAAGCAACCTAAATGTTCCTCAACTGATGAATGAATAAAGACAATGTGGTATATACATATATATACATATTCACACATATACAATGGAATATTATTCAGCCTCAAATAAGAAGGAAATCCTGCCATTTGCAACAACGTAGAGCTGAAGGACACTTTGCTGAGTAAAATAAATAAGACACAAAAAGAGAAATACTGCACGATCTCACTTATATGTGGGATCTCAAATAGTCAGATTCCTATAAGGAAAGAGTAGGATGGTGGTTACCAGGGGCTGGAGGAAGGGGATAATAGGAAGGTGTTAGTCAGAAAGTACAAAGCTTCAGTTATGCAATTATGCAAGACAAATTAAGTCTTAGAAATCTACTCTATAGTATAATGCCTATAGTTAACAAAACTGTATTTTTTAAAATTCATCAAATGGTACTACTTAAGATTAGTGCTTTTATTGTATGCTCAAAATAAAAAAGAAACTCTAAATAAATATTGAACTCCAGTTAACAAGTATATTCCAAAGTACTGTTTTTAGGAGGAAATGTCTGTCTAAAAATTACTTTGAAATGCATCCAAAAGATAAAATGGATTTGTGGATAAATAGAGAAATATGTGACAGAGCAGGAAGAGTAAAATGTTAATGGTAGAATCTAAGTGATGGGTATACATGTGATCACTGTAAAATTCTTTTGATTTTTCCGTTTAAGTGTTTCATTATAAAATATTAGGGAGAATTACATGTCACATTTGTTTCACAGAGGAAGAATTTTTATTTTCACAATAAATATTTTTTATGGTTTTATGACAAATTCTGCCTTATTGCTCTATCTTGGAGCATGCTAAAGTATATGTGTATGTGTGTGTGTATATATGTATATCATGTATGATATAGTTCATGTACCATATAGTTCAGGTTTTAGATAGTTCACAGTTAAATATTAGATAATTCATGTATTAAATCAGCCAGATAGAATCTTTTTGAAAAGATCTATCCTGGGATGTAGATATTAGAGATAGACACACTTGATTAATTAAGCTAATCCTAGAAAATCAATAAGATGCCATCTAATTAAATTACAAATCTTACCTTTGGTTGTGCATGTCTAGGTGTAAGACTTGACTGAGAAAAGAATCCTAAAATAAACCTCAAAGCATCAGAGCAGAAAACTTCCAATTAACATAGCAGGCTATTTGATATACAAAAAAAAAAAAAAATTTGTTCAAGGCTAAACCTTGAGAGTTGGAAAATCAATGCCAAAGTTTCATATTCAATTGTTATTTTTTTAACGTTATAAATAAGGAAATGAGAGAAGGTCATTGATATGCTTTTTCCTGTTAATACTACAACAAACTTTGGAGTGACTTTGGAGGAGACAGTATTCCAACACTTATAATGGAGCCGACCGTGTAGGGGGAGAATCTAGTCCCTCTCCACTCTTGGGTAGTGTCAGATTTAATAAATTTCCTTAATTTAAAGAGACCCACAGGTGCAGGACCTAGGACCAAAATAAATCAGGTAATGGAAAAATTATAGTTTGGAATTTGAAAAGTTAAAATGCAATCCATAAAATTAATTCCATACTTCTTCAAGGTGGTTCTCTTTGACATCAAGTTCACTCTAATATTAGTAAGTCCAAGGAAGCCTGCTAGAAAAAAAATCACAGTGGTAATATTTTTATTCTCTTGGCACATTGCTTTCAAACTCTACCAAAGAGTTAATTATTTTTTTCTGTTCCTGTAACCACCAAGTTAAAAAAAAAAAAAATCCCATGTCCTTCAAAAAGTATTGAATTTTTAAATGAGTGATTTCTTTCCAGATCTGTTTTTATTTGAATATTGAGTTCAACTGCAGTTTCTTTCTTTCTTTGTAAACCTCAACTTCTTACTACTTGAATGTCTGAAAAACACAAACTATTTTTCTAAAAGGAAAGCCACCCTTATTTAAAGAGTAATGCACAGTTACCCAAAGTGCTAATTTTATATGTGGCACACTCACATAAGAAATAAAAGCCCAGGCTGGGCGCGGTGGCTCACACCTGTAATCCTAGCATTCTGGGAGGCAGAGGAGGGAGGATTGATTGAGCTCAGGAGTTTGAGACCAGCCTGAGCAAGAGCAAGATCCCGTCTCTACTAAAATAAGAAAGGAATTAGCCGGACAACTAAAAATATATAGAAAAAATTAGCTGGGCATGGTGGTGTGCAGCTGTAGTGCCAGCTACTCAGAAGGCTGAGGCAGAAAGATTGCTTGAACCCAGGAGTTTGAGGTTGCTGTGAGCTAGGCTGACTCCACAGCACTCTAGCCCGGGTGACAGAGCAAGAGTCTGTCTAAAAAATAAACAAACAAATATAAATATAAATAAATAAATAAATTTCTAGAAAAATTACCCATTGCACCCAATAGTAATTTTCCTATTAAGATAGAGCTGAATTCTCTTCTGTCTCTGCCATGGTTTATATATTCAATACTATAATAAAATGTGGGTAGAAAAATAAAGAGGTATTTATCTGTTTTGTTTCCCATTATTAAAAACAATTGGATGTAAACTATAAAAGGCTCTCCTATCTACATAAATATACTTAATCTCTATAATATTCTCACAAATCACTAGTGTGATGGTTTGAAGATGGTCTTAAATTGTTTTCTTTCTCCTCTAATTGAGAAGTAGATTCAAATTTCTCTTCCCTTGAATCTGGGCTGGCCTTAGTGACTTGCTTGACAAATTAATGTAGTAAATATAAACTATAAGACATTATAGGACTTCTGAGTTATGGGAAACCTTGTAGCTATTGCCTTGGCTGCTATAGTTCTGGGGAAACCAGCTCCCATGTAAGAAATCCATCTACCTTGAAACAGCCATGCTGTGAGGAAGCCCAAGCTAGAAGCTCCAGCTATTCCAACCATCCCAGCTCAGGTTCAGACAGGTAAGGTAAGAATCTACCTTGGGTGTTCCAAAAAGAGATAATGTGGAGAACAGAGGAACTTGGCCAATAGAATCAAGGTCCCAGACATTTGGCCTAACTCAAGTCTTCCCAGACATCTCCAGCCGTTTGAGTTACTCTAATTGTAGGCCCAGTTATCATGGACCATAAATGAGTCATCTCTGGTGGGCCTTGCACAAATTTCTGACCTGCAAAACTGTAAGCCTAATAAAAGTGGTGATTGTTTTATACCACTAAATTTCGGGAACAGCTAGTAAACATATTTCTCGGGTTTAATTGGTTAGTCATTTCACAGTGTTTAGTAAGAAGTTTACATTAGCACACATGGTGTTTGCCTGTGCTGTCTATAGAAAGAAAATCTTCATCAGGAGGAAAATTTGTTATAATTTAGTAGTACTCTATGCTCCCAAGCACAGTAGTATTTGCTACTCATGAATACATGAGTGGATTAATAAAATGTGGTATATGTATACCATGGAGTACTATTCAGCCATAAAAACCAATGGTGAGCTAACACCTCTTGCATTATCCGGGATGGAGCTGGAGTCCATTCTTCGAAGTGAAGTATCACAAGAACGGAAAAACAAGCAGTACATGTACTCACCATTAAATTGGCACTAATTGATTAACATTTATGAGTACATAAGGAAGTAACATTCATCAGGTGTCAGGAAGGTGGGAAGAGGGAGGAGGGGATGGGTAAATTCACACCTAATAGGTGCAGTGTGCTTGTAGCTCTGACTTGGGCAGTGCAAAAGCAATGTCTGTAACCAAAGTGTTTGTACTCTGTAATATTCTGAAATTTAAAAAGTAGTAATAAAAAAAGAAAAATGCAAAATGTGTATCTTCTCTTTTCACAGGTATCTGAGATGTTATTATTGGGCAGTTCGAAGTTTAATTACCATTGGGGGGCTTCCAGAACCAGAAACTTTATTTGAAATTGTTTTTCAACTCTTGAATTTTTTTTCTGGAGTTTTTGTGTTCTCCAGCTTAATTGGTCAGGTAAGTTGAGTGCGAATTCCTAGATACACAGTGCTGTCAATTTTTGAAAGGCTAACAAGTCTTTATAAACTTCATGGAGGAAAAACTTAAATCTGTCATGTTCATTTTTTTAACTAACTTTCATCTATTTTAATGAGTTGAAGGAGGGTGTGATTGGGACAACAGTACTTTTCCATTTTTAAACCATTAAATCTATCAAAAGACCTGTCAGCAAAGAGCATTACTTTGAACTCTCAGAGAAAGTTGTTTCTAAGTTAACTTTTCACTTAGAGGTTCCTGAAAACCATTAAAAGCTCTCATTTACTTAAACTTCAAATATTGTCATAAATTCACTAGGTTAAAATCAACTTCAGAGGTCATTTAAACCAGGGGCTATGAAACGCCATCAAAGTGATTAATAAATCATTGTTTCACAAGTGTTTCTTATAGCATCTCTTTGTACTCATTCTCAAAAAATCGATGTAGTAAGAAAACAAAACAAATGCATAAATGATTATGTTAAAAGTAGTTAGCATTTACAAGGGATACAGCCCCAAATCTTTGTGGATTTCCAAATTCACAATAAAAAGTTTGACAGCATAGCATCTTTAGAAGTTATGCTTTTTTGGAAGGAACTTTACATGCTAAATGGTGGAGAGAAAAAAAAAAAAAAAAAGCCATGTTGAGAAATTTGTCCCAGGTGAAGGGTTAGCCTAAATCATGAAATGATTATTCCTACTAGAGAAATTATTGGTTCCCACTAACTGACTCTTTTCATATAGAGTATGAATAAAACTCATGCTTTAACAAAAATTAACAGTCAAAACTATTCTTTATGATATTTGAAGCTGCTCCCAAATAGTCCAAACTGAAATACTACATCTGTGAATGGCAAGCAGCAGAGGAGAGTTGGAAAGCTCTCCATTAGTTCAGGACAAGGAAGTCTCCCAGGAGGTTTCATGGAGGAGGATGCATTTGAAACAGCTTTAGAAAGCAGGTAGGATCAGTATGATGGATAGGTAGCTCAATCAATTCAAAACGTGTGTGAAAAGATGGCCATGTTAAAGCACAAGACATGTTTAAGGAAACAGAAAGCGTTCCAGAATGAGCAGAGTGAAGGACACTTGTAAATAAGAGAAGCATGTAGGACAGGATATTTAAGGCTGCTGAATGTTAAATTAAAGATGTTGGGCCAGACGCAGTGGCTCACGCCTATAATCCTAGCACTCTGAAGGCCGAGTTGGAAGGATTGCTCAAGGTCAGGAGTTGAACCAGCCTGAGCAAAGAGCAAGACCCGTCTCTACTAAAAATAGAAAGAAATAATTGGCCAACTAAAAATACATAGAAAACATTAACCAGGCATAGTGCACAGCCTGTAGTCCAGCTACTTGGGAGGCTGAGGCAAAGGATCGCTTCGAGCCCAGGAGTTTGAGGTTGCTGTGAGCTGGCTGATACGTGTGCACTCAGCCCGGGCAAACAGAGTGATCTGTCTCAAAAAAAAAAAAAAAAAAAAATGTTAGACTTATCTTGAAGGCAATGGAAGTGAGCAAGAGGAGGATGTTGAACAAAGAGATTTAAGGAAGATTAATCAAAATATAATGAATTGGAGGGGATGATACTGTTTTAAAATATATGACTATTATTTAGGTGTGCTAAAACCAACAGATCAGGGGACAATTGCCACTGAAAAGGCAGTTTGTTATACTCTCAGATCCCAAGAGGAGGCAGCACATACCACATGGGGCTGGGAAGGGGTTACATGGGGATGCACCAGCAGGGGAGGAACAGACCAGGCAGGGGAAGCAGGCTTAAGGTTGGCTGGTTTGAATAATTTCACAGGCTCTGGCGTACAGGAGCTGTCTCTTATTGCCTGGTACCGGGCAGTGGGGTGTAGGGCAGGTGGATAGTGGCCTGAATGTGGGAGTCCTTGTGAGAGCCTGATACAGACGGCAGTTGGGGGTATGGGTGCTGGATTAGTAACTTTACTCTCTCTAGGTAATTAGCTAACCCTAAGCAAGGGCCTGGATCAGCAAGGCCCCAGATAGCAACATATCAAAATACAGAAAACTAAAGCACAGTTAATACAGATACACAGGGATATGGCAACTGCAGCCTGAACAAGTTAGTGAAATGGAGACAGAGGCTGTAAAGAAAACTCTATGTAGAAAATATTTAGGTTTGGGAAGATGGACACTAAGAGTTAAAAACTTTAAGTATAAAATCCCCATAATCCTAATGGCTGGGAAGATTGTGTTAACAATCATTGAAATAGGAAGCTGGGTTTAGAGGAAATCAATTCAGATCAATTTGAATGTAAAGAGCAAAAATCACATTATTTCATAATTTCTCATAAAATCAATGTAAGGTAGTCACATCACAGTCAATGATTTCTCAGTTTTGCAGATGAAGAAATTTCAGTTTAAAGAGATTAAGAGGCATCCCTGATTTATACATGCAATTCATACAGTCATATGATATAGAACCATATATAATAATGCTGATAATAACAGTAAAATCTAACATTCACTGAGCACTTATTATGTGCAGGACAACTTTTACAAGACTAGAGAACTATGCCTAGCACCAGTTCAATTCTCTTGCTACTCACAAGTGTAATCTGTGGACCAGCAGCAGCACTTGAAAAATTCAGAATTCAGGACCTACTGAATCAGAAACTGCATTTTAATAAGAGCTTCAAGTGATTCATATGCACATGAAGCTTTGAGAGGTGCTGCTTTATATGTCATACCACACCTGCTTTTAAATTGAATTTGAGATGCCAACAGGAGCAAGAAGAAATATCAAGTTGCTGAAAATGTGGTAGTAGAGCACAAGATGAGGCTGGAGGTACAGATTTGTGCCTTAAACTTTCATAGTGAATAAAAGATGCTGAGAAAGGGAACAGACAGAAACAACAGTAAGACAGCCTGGGACAAAATCGCCCCTTGTTCAGAATTCCCACATACAGCCACACTAATGACTACACCCTGGAACTAATCATCACATTTTAACTGCAACTTTCTATTCTCTGATACAACTCATAGAAACTGATACTTTCTTCCTCTCATACCATCGTGTACTTCCCTAGCCTGGGACCCACCATGGAATGTACATCTTCCTCAACCCCTTCACCAACAAAACCCAACATTGCTGAAGGATAGCACACAAACCATTCAGATTATTGCCACTACAAATTCTTGGGTCCTCAACACCAATCAATAATGCTTCTAATTGTCCTTGGTTCCAAATTTAGCACTTTCTTAAATCTTCCAACCCAACCCAACCCCTAATATCCCAAGTCTCCCAGTTTCTGTGATAATGTAGGTCATCTGCCGAGAACAGCATGAAAAACAGAGACCTAGGGATTGAGGTTGTTGAAGAATATTTGGAAGAGCCACTTTGCCACTAAGAAGTTAGAGGCTTAGGCCGGGTGCAGTGGCTCACTCCTGTAATCCTAGCACTCTGAGAGGCCAAGGCAGGTGGATTGCTCAAGGTCAGGGGTTCGAAACCAGCCTGAGCAAGAGAGAGACCCCGTCTCTACTATAAATAGAAAGAAATTAATTGACCAACTAATACATATAGAAAAAATTAGCCGGGCATGGTGGCGCATGCCTGTAGTCCCAGCTACTCGGGAGACTGAGGCAGTAGGATTGCTTGAGCCCAGGAGTTTAAGGTTGCTGTGAGCTAGGCTAATGCCACGGCACTCACTCTAGCCTGAGCAACAAAGCGAGACTCTGTCAAAAAAAAAAAAAAAAAAGAAGTTAGAGTCTCAAAAAGATGTGTACAGTTGGACTAATTGCATAGCTCCTCAGCAGATACTTTTGATAAGTAGAAGAACCTTTTGACTCTGAAAATGGAAACTAAGGAAGGCTGACAATGAAAGAGGCATTTAGGCTAGACCTCAAAGAATGAGTAGTTTTTCCATAAGCAGAAAGGGCTCAGCAGCTACTAGCATGAATGAGTGAAGTCTTATGAGTGTGAAAGTAAGGCCCTGGTTTTCCTCCCTATTATAAACCCGTAGTCAAAGCAAATTTACAGCCACTTGCTTCCCTCTATGTGAGAGGAAGAGTGGAGCTATATATCTTTTTTGTGCTGAGACCTTAAAGATCAGCTTTTAACCTAGAGTGGGTTTTTATGGCTGAGTTATAAACATCCAAGAACTAAAACCTGACAGTTTCTTAAGAATTGTCACAGCAGTAGATGATGCTTCAGTAATTTCAGCACATTTCAACTTCTGCTGAATACTATGCCTTAAGCATGATGAAATTTGATTTTATCTGTCTAAACAACACAAAGAGAAGTACAGAGGTTGCAATTTCGTGATGAATTGAGTCTATATAGCCAGCCACACTGGATAATCTATGAAGGATGCTTTCAAAGTGAAACTCACCAAAATGGACTAGCCATTCTGCCAGATAATTGCTCAACTTTTATTGCACTTCCCTTGCATAAGCACAGCTGTATAATTTTTAAAATATCTACTAACATTTTTGCAGTAATATATAAGTTGGCATAGAAAATTACGTGCAGTCGTATGCATTTTTTGTTCCTGAATCCTAACAAAAATCTCACATGGTTGGCCCAACAGGTCTTCTTGTTTTTCCATATTGGGTCACTGAAAGAATACAATCTACCCTGTATTTTATGGAAATGGGTGAAATTAGGACACAATATCAATGTGTTTAAAATCAAGTAATCAAGCTTTTAGGAGGGAGTGCATCAAGTGAGAATACTTAATTCAACTTTTATTAACTCTCCCAGTTCCTTGGCTGGGTGTGGAGTGACCTTATTTGTCATTTTAGATGCGAGATGTAATTGGGGCAGCTACAGCCAACCAGAACTACTTCCGCACCCGCATGGATCATACCACTGCCTACATGAACAATTACTCCATTCCTAAAAGTGTGCAAAAGCGAGTTCGGGCTTGGTATGAATACACATGGGCCTCTCAAAGAATGCTAGGTAAGCATGGCAGATTACTGATTAAATTCCTGTAAACCTAGTCATATAATAAAAACTCCGTATAGTAGCAGAGACTAATTAGATTTGAACAAAAGATTGAAAAGCAATTAAATGATCTATAAAGCATTAATGTTTAATACCATGGGATTTTATTTCTTAAATATGGAGCTCTATCTTACTGGTTACCTAAACTTTGGAAGAGAAAAGTCTAAATTTATTCAGTGCCTACTGGATGCTAGGTGTTACACACATTGTCTTATATAGTCATCACACACACACACACACAAAAAGGGGGATCAGGAAAATTCAGTATCACCTATCATTCCTTTAAGAGACAAGAAAACAGAGGCTCCTGAGAAATTTGGCCAAAGACATAGAGCCAACAAATAAATGGTCTAAATGGAACTCAGACCAGCATCTGTTTTCTTCCAAACCCTTGCTCTTTCTGCGGCATCACTGTCTTGCCCAGAGCACGGTACAGTTAGCCCTTGAACTCAGGGATTAGGGGCACCAACACCCACCCAATAAAAAAATCCACATATATTTGCATCTCCCAAAACTTAATAGCCTACTGCTATTAAGTAGCCTACTGTAATAGCCTACTGCTATTACTCCCTATACTAATAGCCTACTGTTGGCTTGAATTCTTACCAATAACAAAACAGGCAATTAACAAAAAATTTGTATATGTATTATATTCTGTATCCTTAAAACAAAGCAAACCAGAGAAAAGAAAATGTTATTAAGAAAATCATAAGGATGAGAAAATACATTTGCTATTCATTAAGTGGAAGTGGATCATCATAAAGGTCTTCATTCTCGTCATCTTCATGTTGAGTAGTCTGAAGAGGAGGAGGAAGAGGAGAGGTTGGTCTTGCTCTCTCAGGGGTGGCAGAAATGGAAGAAAATCCTTGTATACGTGGACCCACATCATTCAAAACCATGCCATGCAAAGGTCAGCTGTGCTACTAAAGAGCAGCAACCTTTCAGGCCACCCCATCCTGCTACAAGGCACACCATTGCATCTACAAGACCCTAAATAATTAATGGTGTCTTTTATTAGTACCATACCATTGGAATTTAAAATAACTTTTATTAAAGGATATAAAATAAGTTCAAGACAATGCACTAGTTGACAATAATCAAATTCAACTCTTATAATAATTTGTTCCTCACTATATAAAAATAGGAATTAGTGCCACTAAGATGCCAAAAACGCTACTGCCTCCAGAATGCAAATGACAATGAGATTTTCCAGTCACAAAGGTTCCCAGGACCACACAGGAACCACTCAGCTGTTGACAGTAGGACCTTTTCTTCACCTTTCTGCCAATCTTCAGAGACTCCAGCCTCATGTGTAGAATCTCTTCCTGAATGACCAAACAGCATGCCTCTCTCTTGAGCACCTACAGCTACTCCAGGGCATTTGAAGTGAGCAGGAAGAGCAACGACAGGAGTGGTGTCGGGCTTCTTCCCTCACTCCCCTTAGCAGCTGTAGATACCGACCCAACTCCCTGGCTTAAGAGATAACTAGAGACAAACAACCTTCAAAAACAAGGAACTGTGTTTTTTTTATGGAGGATTTTTATATTTAGAATCTATATTGGAATAAAAATAGGAATATAATACAGTAATTTTTCTCATTTCTAAATAATATAAGAAAACATCAAAAATAATCTACTCTCAGAAACCCTTTCCCTACTAGACATTAAGAACAGGCAGTGTTGTTTATGGAGCATTTTATCAGCCTGAAGGCCCATCATTTAATTCACATTCAGAAAAAATCTGTAATGTATTCATATTCTTCATCGAGTTATTAAGCAAGTAAATAACAATAATTTGGATTTTCTCCCTTAGCCCATTTCTTCTTTAGATTTGATTCCAGCTGAGCTACCTACTAATTACGCACAATCAAGCAAGTCACTTACAGCCTCTGTGGGTCTTTAGATCTTTTTGTTTTTCTTCTTCCTGCAAAGTAGGAATAAGGACACTCACCCTTAGGCTTGTCACCAGGGTCAAAGAAGATAATGGGTGTGACAGAGCTCTGCAAGCTTTCAGATGAGATGCCACACGGTGTGAATTATTATTTGCCATCCTCAGGATGTTAGGCCTGGAATCAAGACAATCGGAAAACAAGAACTAGATTCTTCTCCCATGGCAGCTTGTTCACCAGCCTTTGGCCTATGATCATTAAGTTTCATATCCCAAAGCTTCAGCATGCATAATGTTCTAGAGTTATTCAATACATCATCCAGAGTTAAAATACTCGTTTTTCTCCCCTGAGGATAACAGTGTCATTGGAATAGGTAGGTACAGCCAATAGAAGTAATGAAGATAGAGAATGCAATGTGTCTGTTTATGTATAAAAAGTGTTTGCATCTTGTTTCCTTCATTTTTTTAAATTTTTCTACTTATATTTTGGTGCCTTATTTTATTAATAATTCTGCTTTGGGGGTTGATGTGCTTATCTTTGCAAAGATGAGTCCAGTTTGCTTAAGACCCTGCCAACTACCGTACAGCTAGCCCTCGCCGTCGATATGAACTTCAGCATCATCAGCAAAGTCGACTTATTCAAGGCAAGTGCTTTTACCGTTAGTAGAAAGGCACTATATCAATTCCTCCAAGAGGTCGGGAGTGGTGGCTCATCCCTGTAATCCTAGGACTCTGAGAGGCTGAGATGGGTGGGTTGTTTGAACTCAGGAGACCAGCCTGGGCAACAGTGAGACTCTGTCTCAAAAAAAAAAAAAAAAAAAGAAATTCCTCTGAGAAAGTTAAGATTTTCCTGTATACAGCATTTATGATTTTTTTGCCTTATGTTTTAACAAAGTCAAAACAACCTGGAGAATTTATGTGGCATTAAAGAGTCAAATAAATTGCAGGTCTCTCTTCTAACTGAAGTCAAAGAAGAGTTCTTCAGACTCTTATTGCATTCATTTAAATATAATTAAACTCTATAGCTCTATGTCTTTGCTAGTATGTGTGTCACCTCCCATTTATGAACGTGCCTTGGCAATGCACGACAAATCAGGCCCTAGATTAGCTCTGGATTGGCCTGACAGTCAACGAATCATGCCTAATCATGTCTCCTATTACAGATACTTTGCATTTAGACTTTCAAAATGGTCAAATTTAAACTTAGAGGCTTCATTCTTTTTTAGGAAAAAAAAATGCATAACAAAGAAATTTCAAAAATGTTGAATATTTTTAATTTTAATACTCTCTTTTTTAAACATATGTTGCATATAACTCTTTCTCACCCAAGATTTGATTGTGTGTGGCATTCACTGATTCATCTGTTCAATTAATTCATTCAACAAATATGTATTAGGTTCCTACTATGTTTCAGGCACCATTTTAGCCACTGGGAATACAAGAAAACAAATACACAAGTGGAGCTTAAATTCCAGAAGGGAATGAAAAATAAATATATAATGTGTTGTGGAGGTGGTAATGCCATGAACAAAATTAAGCAGATTGAGGAGGAGGTTGAAGGTGTCACTGGCCATGAAAGGACTCTCCGAGGAAGTGCCTTTGAGCACCTGAACAGAGGACTTGGGGAAGCAAGGGAGTGAGCTATGCAAGCAGTGGGAGAGGACAGAGGGGTAGGGGAGAGGATAGAATATTACAGGAGAATGGATGGCATGAAGCCCTGAGCTGGGAACACACTGCAAGGAAGCCAGAGTGGCCGGGGCAAACACAGAGTGATGCAAGCCAGACTAGTCAGAGAAGAGTTTAAAAAAGGAGGCAGAGGCAAGGGGCAAGTTAATAGAGGTCCTTGGAGACTGTCGTACAGATATTGGACCACACTCTGAGATGCAAAGACACTGAGGATGTTGAGCAGAAAGTAACCCATTGAGACTGGTTTGGAAAGCATTATCCTTCCTACTATGTGGAGAATAAGCAAGGAAGCCAAATGGAAGTTATCTTAACCACCTACAGAAGAGATAGTGGTGACCAGACCCAGGGTTGTCAAGGAGTTATTGAGAAGTGACCAAATATTGGCTACATTCAAAGGAAGAGGCCATACTTTTTCCTGTTTGATTAGGTGAAGCAGGTAAGAGGAAGAAAAAGACCAAGGGTGACTCTAAGGATTTAGGCCTCAGGGACCAGAAAAACAAAGATATCATTTGCAAAACAGGAAATTTTGGATTAAGTTTAAAAAAAGTCTTTGTTTTTGATTGTTGCTATGGTTTGAATGATGATAGTCCCTCCAAAATTCGTGTTGCAACTCAATCCCCAATGCAACAGTATTAAAAGATGTGACCTTTGGGAAATGATTAAGTCATGAGGGCTCCACCCTCATGCATAGGATTAGCTCCCTTATAAAATAGCTCAAGACAAAGGAAGCACTGTCATACCCTTCTTTGTGAGAACACAGCGTTCTTCTCCTCTGGAGGATGCAGCAACAAGGTGTCATCCTGCAAGAGAGAGCAGCCCTCACCAGACACCAAACTTGATGGTGCCTCAATCTTAGACTTCCCAGTCTGTAGAACTGTGAGAGATAAATTTCTATTACATATACATTACCCATTCTGTGTTATTTTTTTATAGCAGTGCAAAGACTGATGTGTGAAACTAGGTAAGTGTTAGACTTTCAGATGGAAATAACATGCAGGCAATATGGTTTATAAATCTGATTTCGAGGGAGAGGTCCAAGCTGGAGCAATAAATGTACCTATGAGCATATTGGTGCATTTTACACCCTCGATGTGATCACTTAAGATGCAAGTATAGATAGAAAAGAAAATGTAATCCAGGCAGAAGGATATGTCTTGAAAATAGATAATCAATACCACTGGAGACAAGATGAAGAAGCAGAAGCTGTGTGGAAGAATGGTCAGGTCTAGCCACTCCCAACACTAGGTTAACCTGTGACTCCATAGGATACTAGAGTTGGGTCAGTATCTTAGGACTCTTTTCTTAATTATATCCTGTTATAGACGTCCGTCAAGATTTTGATGAAGACATAAAAAGTGTGATTTTCAAATTTGCAGATGACTCGAAGCAGAAAGGAATAGTATAAAATGTGTTAAATACAAAATTTAAAATTACTGAATACTTTGAAACAATGCGCAAAGCCAACAAAATTAACTTTAACAAGCATACAAGTAAAAATCTTAAGTCCAAAATTAAAATATTACAAACATAAAAAGAGCAATAGTTAGTTTAAAAGAGCAATCCTTAGTTAAAAAGAGCAATTGTAAGTTTATAACAATTCTTTTTAGACAGGGAAGTTTCACTTGGCCTAAAACTTTATATGAGTCAGCAGAGCTATGTATGAGATCCCCCTAAATGTTAACAAAATATTGGTTTTCTTGATTATTTAAACTACATTTGGATTAACATATCACATTTCAAATAACCAGTTTTAAGAAGGATTTTTGACAAGTTAGATTATCTTCTTCCTGCTAAACAGTTAAAAGTAGGAGTTGAGTAGTGGACCAAGAAGATAGTAAAAGGATAATGTTATAAAATTACTCTGTGATGATAGAAATCAGATCGATGATTGCTTCTAGAGTGGAGTGGGGATGAAGAGATTGACTAGGAAGAGGCATGGCAGAGCATTGTAGCGTGATAGAAATGTTTTGTGTCTTGCTAGGGAAGGTACATAATTGTATGCATTTGTCAGAATTGACCTAACTGTCCCTTAAGGTCTGTATATTTCACTGTATGTAAATTGTTGCTCCATTAAAAAAAAAAAAAAAGAAAAGAAAAGAAAAGCCTGGTGGTGGCTTGTGCCTGTAATCCCAGCTGCTCAAGAGTCTGAGCTGGAAGGATCACTTAAAACCAGGAGTTTGAGAGTAGCCTGGGCAATATAGTGAGACACCAACTCTAAAAATTAATAATAATCATGAGAAGAAAATGGCCTCAAAAGAAAAATTTATAGATGCTGAGGGTGTTTAGTTGTAGGGAAAAATGATTCAAGGACAGCAGAAGTCTCTTATACCAAAGTCTGTTATATGGACAAGGAATGAGTCTTACTCTATATTGTCTCACAAAATAATACTCCACCCTAAATTCCATTTCTAAGCTGCAGAACCTCTGCTGGAATAAAACCTCCTGGAAAAGCAAGGTGTGGTCCTAATTGTCTTCATACCAGCAGTACATACCACAGTTTCTGACACAGAGTAGCTGCTTAGCAAGGGCATCAGGAAAGGAGGGAGGATGCACCAGTACCAATTCTTGGAGATGACAGGAAAGTAGTTTCTGATTTCTAGCAGGAATTCTTCCACAACGAAAGCTCCTGGTAAAACAGAAGCATCACAGAATGTGTACAAGCAGAATTTTCTGATCTTCTATAAGGTAGGCTGTGAAAAGGATTCCCACATTGGTTAGTGGTTTTCTCTAGTTAGATAGGTTTTCAAACTGCAGCTTGTCATCCACTAGGGGGTCATGAATTCAATTAAGTAAGTCACTACCAGCATATAAAATGGAAGAGAAAATATCATAGTGCATCACAAATAAGGAAAGGTAGGTATTGCGGACACAATGAAAATGCATGTCTTATTATAGAGTATGGTCAAAAATATATGAAAGCCACTAAACTAAATTAACAGTATTTTAAAATATTATAAAACTCTTTATACCATAATGAGTACCTAAATTGGGAATAAGTGACAGCAAGTAACTCTTTTCTAAAGAAAAAAATAATACTTTACATGAGGTACCAATGACTTTTATAGGATTATCTCCAATTTGGGAAGTTATCGGTTTTCTGCATCATAGTTTTTTCTTTGTTTTTACATGTACTTTTTGGAAATCCATTAAATCAGCAACATCTGATTGAGAAAAAAGGTTAAATCTTCGCATCTTGCTAATGTTGTTTATAAACTTTGATTCATTTTTTTTCTGACATTTCCATTAAAGAGGGAGTTCTTTCCAGAAAGAACCCATTTACATTTCTGTTAAATGCAAAAGTTATTTTTGTCTAAAGTCAAGTAAAATAGAAAATAAGTAGGTATGAAATTTTTCTAAATTTATTTTCATGGAGACAGTCTTAGCAGTGTATACAAATCTGTTATTTTCTTAGGAGGGAAATAGGCTGAATAGTGATCCTACACCCTTCATAGCTTATACCCAATTGATCCTTGCAATGCTTCTGTCTGAATCAGTCCGCTCCCTACAATGAGAGCCACCTATGCACCCCTGGAGCTCAGAGCACAAAGGAGGGAACATTCAAAATGTGGGTGCCTAGAAGGATGCTTAGGAACCTCTGGAGTGAAAAGCTAGAGGTGCCTGGGTGAAGGCTCACAGATGTGGAAAAGTATTAACCTGTTCACTGAAAGAGAAGTCTTTGGAACCAGATCATGGGGTGATGCCCAAAGATGAATCTGGAGACGTCAACTGAAGCCATGCTGTGGTGTGTGAGCCCAATCCTATAGGCAAAGGAAGTTGTGAAAGGAGGAGACAGAAAGTATAGATTTCAGTTTTACAAAAACACAAAAAGTGAGACCAACCACAATATCCAGGGATACAAAGAAGGGTGATTGTCACCTGCTGAAAATTTCCCTATCTTGAATCCTCCCTGAAATTGAATCTTCCATATCTGTGAAAGGCAGGCAGGAAGAGAGAGGGA